TTTTTTTTTTTGGTATATCAGAATCAATTCTCTTTTCTTCTCGCTCAGTAGAAAATGCTGCGGTGATTTTAATTATGTGTAGGTTGTAAAACAAGAAGGGTGGGGTCGCCTGTATGGGGGATTAGCTCCATCGATTGTAGGCACGGCCGCATCTCAGGTGAATTTGTTTAGCTTGTTCCTTTTAGCATATGCTGTGAGCTTAATTAGAACTCATATTTTTAATGATCATTAACAAGGTATTAGAAAGATCCATTTGATATAAAGAGCAGAGTCTACAGCTTGGATCCCAACATTTGAATTCGGCCGCCTTATTATCGTTGAAATTTCAACTATTATTTGCTGCCGTGATATGGAAAAGTTAATTGCACTGTTGCAACCCTATGATGTCGTATTTAAGTGACATGTCTGTATGGGCATGTGGTCTCCCTCACATTGGGATGTGTGCCATTGACTAGCAAATCACACACAGCTTATAATTTTGGGGGTTGATTGCTATTATACACCTCCATAGGATTTTGGTTTAAACCTTACCTCTCATAGAATCAATCTAAATGTAATGATCCCAATATGTAGCTTTTATAAGTAATCCCGGTAAGATTGCCCAGAGATTGAAGGAGGCAGAAAGATCAAAGACATTAGCCATTTTTCTTCTTCTTTTTTTTAATCTCTTTTTTCCCTTCTATAGAGTCAATATTCTTAATACATATCCAGAGAAATAAGAAATTGACATTTGAATGTAATATGATGATTTACGTTGCAAAGTCTATACTACCACGTGAATGTGATGAGAACAATTGATGCTAAGGGTTAAATATCATCTTCTAAATTACATTGTAATTGGTATGTATGAATAAATTTCATTTTCCAGTGGAAATGTACATCATGCGAGATTGCTATTAATTTTAATTAATCCACCACACTGCAGTAGGCTTCGCCTTAATTCTCAACGTTGATACCATTGGAATATATGAAGCTAAATCTTGATGTATTGAAGTTGGCTAGGACCAGCAAACTAAGGCTAGAAAGATTTTGAATGCATCCTGGTGGCTCGAATTGTAAAATGTATATATCTCATATGTTTTTGCTTATATGATCCTCGTTGACTCTTTCTTTGTCATTTGTTACACTTATTTCTGTTTTTTCTTTTCATTCTTGAGCTTAGAAGTGAAGTTAAACTTTTTCTAGCTACAATCATTAATAGCCATTCTTGATGTCCTAAACTATAATGTCAAGAAGTTTTTTTTGCTTCCGTTTTTTTTTCTTGATTTCTGTATTTGAAATGAACACCACATTTAAAATTTTGGATTGTCAACATAATTTCTACATCATGAGAAGTTTCATTTTCCATTTAGCAATGCTAAACTGTCGTATTAGAATGTTAAGAAGTTTTCTGATCTTACTTCTTATTTTTCTTTTTTCTTTTCTCCATGTGTTTTTAATAACAAAATGACCCAACCGGAGCTCATTTGTGTTTTCTTTTTACCCCATCTGTCATTGGCACTTTCTACTCATTATATTTAATTAAATTGAACAGATAATTAGTTTTTATATTTTTACTTGTTTAAACCAAGTAAACCATACTCAGTGACTTAATATGTGGTGCTTTTAGGTTAATGTCCTTATTTGTGCGTAATGTACAGCTGTTTCAGTTATGTGCTTCATGCTGTATGGTTTGAGGTGAACATGTGAATGAATAAAAAGAAATATGAAACTTATCATATTTCCTTCTGTAGTTCTGTTTATGTCTCTTCTATGTTCTTTGTTCTGGGTAGCTATATGCATATAAGCTTTGATTTTTATACGTGTTCTCTTACAAATTGCAATTTCTATGGCCCAGGGTGTGTACTATTATTTTTATCAAGTATTCAGAAATAAGGCCGAGTTAACTGCCCTTGAACGGAAGAAGAAAGGTATCGGTGATGGTTCAGTCGGAATGCTTTCATCACTTATGGTTGCTGCTCTATCCGGGTAATGTACTACTCCATGAGCTCCTCTTCAAGGACCACCAAAAAAAAAAAAAAAAAAAAAAAGATCTTTTGCTAGTTACTCAGTACTCATTGTCCTCCATATTGGACAATGCTTTATTCGAACTGGAATAGAAGTAGTTCATATTTGTCTGTTTAGACAGTATTCATTGCCATTCATAGAGAACTATGCTTCAATGGAATTGGAGATTGTTGTAATATTTAATATCCAAACTACTGTATTGCTTTAAACTATTGTGCAAGCTCTGATTCTTTCCAACTGCTGTTGCTGGGGTTTAAGGATATAGGTACTTGGACGAAGTACACTCATATAAGCTAACTGGCATCTGTTTGTTCATTCAGTTGAATGACTCACTTTAAAAGGAATACTTTTACGTTAAAATGTTAACCGGTTTTTGTCATCTTAAACATGTTAATTCTTTTGGATTTTGTAAAGTATTTTACATTCGCCGGCTTTCAGGAAGTGAAGGGTGCAGTCAAATAACTACAACTTAGAGATCATGCAGGTGTAGTTGATAATAGAAGCAAGCCTCATATTTTGCTTCCCTTGGGGGAGCCTTGTCTTTTTTTCTGTGCAACTCACTTCCTTTTTTCTGTGTGAGTATATCATGTTTCTGGTAATAGTGCGGGTCAACGGGTGATTGCAGAAATTTTAGGAATAAAAAAGAAATAACAGTGGAAATAATGGAGTTTTCCTAGTCCTTTCTCTTTCTCTTGATTCTTGCTTATTCTTGTTCATTGAAGTATCCTCTTTATATAGGGGTTGCAGGCGATGCAATTGATAAAGGAGGATATCATATCAGACAATCATTTAAAATAAGCTAATTTCGTTAGGAAAGAACTCTCAAACTGTCAAGTCTAATAATTAGCAACGGAATTGGATTTTAACTGATATCCAAGTCAAGCAGTCTCCCATCCTTCCATTATTTTAATACTCAGCTGTATATAATAATCTTGGCACAGAATCTTGCATCTGTGATAATATTTCCAGAGGTACCAATCAGAGTACGTCCTTCTTGCTTTGACACTACAGTGGGGCTAGAAGAAGCTTGATGCCACCAAAAAGGGTCGGGGGCTAATATCTTTTATGCAGTTTTATGGCCCAGGATTAACAATTTAAAATCTCTTGCTAGAATCTTATATTTGGCCATTAATTTCTCGAGCTCAATTATCATTTAGTAACTCCCTATGTTCTGTTGACATTTATTAAACATTGGAGTTGCTAATATGTTGGAGTCTGATCAGTGCATGCATATACTAATGAGCAATGATTAGAAGCAGCATTTGACAGTTAATGCTGGTATAATGCTATGGTTTCTTGGCTATTAACTGTTTTTGCAGCAAAAGTAACACCACCATATAAGTTGCCATCAGTGAAGATTTCTTTAAATTGAACCAGCATATTCCTTTCTGCAGTGTCATAAAGTAATTATGAACTAGTAAAAGAATGATTTTCCATCCTGCTTATCGATGCTTCTGATTGGCTATCTCTATCTGCGATATTCAGACAATTGCTAATTAATCAAGTTATTATCTGCTGGATCTGGACAATCTAAAAGCCTGTGTTGTTTCACCGAATATTTCTATATTTTCTGTATGGAGCTGATGTTGTTCTCGCTCAGTCCATAGTTTGGAAGTCGATTATATTTCCTCAGCAACCCGTGACAATTAAAGTTTTGTCTTTCCTGTAGGTGCGTAAATGTGCTGCTAACAAACCCTATATGGGTGGTTGTGACCCGCATGCAGGTAAAGGATGCAAGCTTTGTTGGGTTGGGGAGTCCTCAATTTGAATTTGTTGCATAGCTACAATAGCTATTGGCTAAAATTGATGCAGCCTACTTTAGGTCTTGATATTTCATGAATTAATTGGAATTTAGACTTCTTACCATGTATTGGTTTTGTAGCTATGGCAGTTCAGTGACGGGAGATAGTAATGTATTGATGTCTACTTATTTGTTAATACACTGATTAGAAGAGAACAGGTTTAGCTGAAGCTTATTCTTTCCACTAGACATGTTTTTCAAACAAGAAAAGACGTCCAGAAGATTCTTTGGAAATTTACTGGAGGCTACAGGCTACTTATTCATATCAATTAATTTTTCATCTTCTACATTTTTCATTACTCACCCCAACCTCATTTTTGAAGAGTCTAGTATTTAGTCTTACTTCTGCAATAGCTCACCTCAACTTCATTTTTAAGGGCCTTATTTTCTTGAGAGCTGCATTGGCAGTGGCATTTGCATTATATTCTTGAAATATGCTTTCCTAAAATTATCTTGTTGAGCATGCATCTTCAGCATAATCGTCGGATCTATCTTGCAGACTCACACAAAGAAAAGACAACCAAACAATACTGATTCTCCATCTCCCAAAGAATTAATTCTTTCTGCAGTGGAACCTCTTCCTTTTGGTACTACCCACGCGGTACGCAGACAATTGCACTTTTTCTTTTATATGCTTGAAACATTTAATGTTAGATACTTAGTCTCACTTAGAGCATCTGCAGTGCTTTAGGTCTAGTTTTGTCTATGTGGAATGTAAATGAACCTAAGCCTTGGATAACATGGACAAAAATATATAAAATTAACAAAATCTACTCTAAGAGCATCTGCAATGCTTTAGGTCTAGTTTTGTCTATGTGGAATGTAAATGAACCTAAGTCTTGGATGACATGGACAAAAATATATAAAATTAACAAAATCTACTCCAATGCAAGGAGACTAGGTCTTTACTTGGGTCTAAAATGGACTTAAGGTTAGACCGGGTCTCCTTTTCTTGCTGCCACATCAGCAAGACCTAGTCCACTTACACTTGCATTGGAGAACATATTTTTTTAGACCGAGTCTATTTCCGAGGTGGCATTCAATTTTTTTTTTTATTGAACCCAAAGCATTGTGGATGCTCTAATGCAAGGAGACTAGGTCTCTACTTGGGTCTAAAATGGGCTTAAGGTTAGACCGGGTCTCTTTTTCTTACTGCCACATCAGCAAGACCTAGTCCACTTACACTTGCATTGGAGAACATATTTTTTTTAGACCGAGTCTATTTCCGATGTGGCATTCAATTTTTTTTTTTTTTTATTGAACCCAAAGCATTGTGGATGCTCTTATGATCTCTTTCGCTCGAATCATCACATATTATTTACGTGGTTAATGGTTTTGTATTAGTAGCTAATTAAATGGCATCACATAGCATGAAATCTGGGGAACAGATTTCTAGTAGCTACATATTTGGTTTAGGGTACAAAGATGAACCTTAGGTTGATTTTTTTTCTGCAATGCATGAGCCTATTTACATGGGTTTGTTGGATTATTGATAGCCTGTCTATCATTCATGTCATCCCTACCATAATCCTGACTTTTGTTGTCCTTGTGATTGGAAAAGGAGCCCTTTGCTGGCACTTTCTCCTTGTAATCTTTTTGTTCTTCCAACTCTTGCAAGTTTGCACAAGTGAAGTGCAATAATTTTTAAGAACAAAAAAGTGTGTTTTTTTAATATATGAAACTGACATTGGTGTTTGTCCTTGTTCCTTAAATTTGAACCTTAATGCACAGAAAGCTGATCTAGTATTTTTTATTTTTTTTAATATATTTTTGTAACTAGAATTTTTTCAAATCAACAGATTCAAGAAGTTTATGGTGAAGCTGGAGTCTTGGGATTCTGGAAAGGTGTTTTTCCCACACTGATCATGGTATGTGGAAACTTTACTCCAGTTACTATAGCTGGGATAGTTATTTAACTGTGCTGCATGTTGCCACAGGTGAGCAATCCTTCTATACAGTTTATGCTTTACGAGACTTTCTTGAAGAAGCTTAAGCGGCAGCGTCTTTTGAGTAGTAAGGGTGCCAATGGGTGTCACTGCATTAGAGGTGTGTGTGTGTGTGAATTTATTCCTCTTACATAACCTTATTCTCTCACCTTTCTGACTTTCCTTATTATATATACATTTAGATTTTTTTGCTAGGAGCTTTGGCTAAACTGGGAGCTACAGTTGTGACATATCCTCTTTTAGTTGTGAAGGTAAAACGTCTTTTTATTTTTTATTGGTTGTATAATCTCAGTATTACTCCGAAAATATTTTGTATATTCGCTTCCTCTGTGACATCAACCTTGGTAAGAGTCATCTTGTTACTTTAGATGAATACTATTCGGCTCCATTCAACTAGAATGTTTGTACATGGTGGCTGCTTCCCAGGAATATTTTATGTAGCTTTAATTCTCTTTTATTCCAGTCAAGACTTCAAGCAAAACAAAATGCTGGTGGTGACAAGAGGCATCAGTACAGAGGTTTGTTTCGGATTTCTTTGAATTTTTGGACATATGCCTGAAACCTAAGAAGCTTTGACATGCATTAGTTTATGTATAATCTGTGTTTGCGTCCGCTGCTGTTCATTTAATTGGAACAAAAGGGTGGACACTGATTTCAATGTGATAGATGTAGAAAAACGATTGAGCAGCATGAAGGTGATAATGCTTGCTTATATAAGTTTAAAGATATATTTAAGTTGCGGAAAAATGAGAAGTGGTACATAAGTCGTGAAGATACGAATGTTTCCTCACATCAGGAGTGTTGAATAGAACTTTTACATATTCTTATCAAGTTAAAAGTGGAACCCAGAATCCAAAGTTTCTTCGCCGTGAGGAGGTTTTCCTTTTCCATTTAACCAAGAACTGAGAAGTCACTTTCTCTGAAAGTTTGCAAACACTCCAGAGACCAATTTAATTCTAAAAAAAAATTGAGACTGGAGGTTTATTATTATTCAGGCACATTGGACGCCATACTGAAGATGTTACGTTATGAAGGTATATACGGTTTCTACAAAGGCATGGGCACAAAAGTTGTACAAAGTGTTCTTGCAGCTGCTGTTCTTTTCATGGTTAAGGAGGAACTTGTTCGAGGTAGCAGATGGTTATTAACTAGGGGTTCGGTGGGTTCAGTAAAACCAAAGCCGCACTGACCAGAAGATAAGTTCTCATACTTGATTTTTACGACCCAAAATATTTGCCTTACCTTTTAATAACCAGAAATGTCTTTCAACTCAAAAAAAGCAGTGGAATCAACTTTCTGTCTTGTATACTGCTTCAAAGACATAGTTGACCTGCATTTGTAGTTTATGACAAATTATTGAAAATACAGTTGGGTGAATTATTTTGGTTGGGATATGCTGTATTGTAGAACTTAGCTACTATTGGATGAGATAAAAGAAAAAGATAGATGTTAGTGGATGGGTGAGATGAGAATAACAAAGAAAGGAGTCAGTGGTTAAAGAAATGTTGAGAGCAGTTGGTACTGTAAAAGGCTCCTGTATTTTAAATTAAATTGTGTGCTCAAGTGAGATACTTTACCAGGTGCTCCATGAACTTCTATATTATTAACGTGGCATCTTGTTTTCTTTCCTGCCTGGGTCTATGACCAAGTAGATCGTTGCACAATATAAATGGATATAATAATCATCAAATTAAGTAAAAGACAGAGAACAAATCAGTTGCACCATATAAATTGATCAGTAATGCTAAGGAGTCAACTGTTGGCTCCGTTACGGTCCTTACGGAGCCAACAACCAATTATACAGCTCCATGTAGGGCTGTCCCACATGACTCTAATGTGGGACATCCCCACATGGAGCTGTCCCATTGGCTGTTGGCTCCGTTAGGGAGCCAACAGTTGGCTCCCTAGCATTACTAATAAATTGATATAAAATGTCGGACCATTTTACAAATTATGTGTTGACATGTGGTCCAGATTAATACTGTGTTGATACGTGTACTAAAATAAATACATTGAGATGTGTTAATATCAGTTTATGGATGATTCCATAAATATTTTGTAGAAAACAAATCAAGCAATGATGTTTGTTTTAAAACAATTTGAGAGAATAAACTAAAATATATCTACCATACTTTGGGTCTAATTTTGCTCACGTAGTATAGCCCAAGTCTTCAATTAAATGGATAACGGGAAATTTACACACATATATCATGTATCATACTTATTTTTAAAATTACGTTTCCTAGAATCTTTTATCGAATGTGGAATTATGTGGATAAGTATAAGTATTATCAGACCTACGAGATCTGTTACTTTCCAAACTTATGCACTCAATTAATGGGTTCGATAATTATGCATTCAGAATAGCTTTTCAATTTTTTTTTAAGCTTGTGTGGAACTTCTAGGATTGGCTAGAGGTATAAACAATATGTATATACATAATATATACATACTATTTATCTTATATATATACATATATATGTACAATAAACTAAATGTGTGCTAATCAAAAATATGTTTATATACTGTTTATCTTTTGTATATAAATATGTAAAATTAAATGTAGGTGTAATATACATTACTATATAGGTTCTACATATAAGTATATGTTTATATATTGTTTATCGGGTTATTGCAAAATCAAAAATATGTTTATGCACTGTTTATCTTATGTATATATATATGTACAATAAACGGAAGTATAAGTATATTGCTTATCCGAAAAGTGTATTTTGATAGATTAACCTCGTGCAAATCAAATATTCAAAAGCAATAGCACCAATATCCTTCACTGAAGTTCACCCAAGAAATAAGTAAAAAAAAAAAGGCAACACATCATAATGCCAAATAGTACCAACATGGTTCAACTCTCCATACACAAAAGACAAACAATAGTACTTCAAATTGATATGTGCGACGAGATCGGGAGCGAGTTGTCATTTCTTCGTCTTCACTTTTGCAGGGTTTGTTCTCGATTTTATTTTCTTTTGCCATTTTTTTCTCATTTTCACCGGAGATATGGTGCATTGCGCTTCTGAGACGGGCTCGTCGGAGAAGGGTCCGGGGGTTCTGGGTAACCCGTCGACGTTGGACGACTGCTCGGAAAGACGAACGGCGATGCTGGAGGTTCGTCTTCAATTTCACCGAAAATATGGTGCACTTTGCTACTGAGACGGGCTCGTCGAAGAAGGGTCCGGGGTTCTGGATAACCCGTCGACGTTGGACGACTGCTCGAAAAGACGAACAGCGATGCTGGAATCTTCGCCGACGATAAATGGTTTAGACGACGATGGAGTTTTTTATTTTCTTTGGAGTTTGGACTGAGAGATGAAGTTTTTTTTTTTTTTTGGGAATGATGTTGTATGCAATACAATCGAGATTTGGAGTGAGAAAAGCAGATTTTTAGTTCTTTTTCTTTAAGCGATTGAGTGTAAAGATGGAGAGTAAAGATTTGGAGTGAGAAAAGAAAAGCAAATTTTTAGTTCCTTTTGTGTTCTTTGATATTGCCACTAATATCAGATTAAATATGTAATTAATTAAACTTAACAGTTAATTAGACCAACTTAACCGCACTAAATCTCACCTTGATTGTTGAATAACGTGATTATGATTAAAATATTGTGAGCTCGTATTTTTGTTATTATTTACTCTATGGGATGTAAATCGTGTAAATTTCTCATGGATAAATCATAAAAGTTATAAAACTTTATAAAAGTAATATATTTCACTCTAATCCAAAAAGTTATGTCTCTATTTGGATCTAAGTAGATGTAGGGTAGATTGGGTTTATTTTGTTTGTTGTCACATCAAAACGACCCAGTCCACTTGCAATTGCATTGGAAAATAAAATTTTCGAAATTGTGTCTACTTTTTACGCGGCTTGTTCAATCTTTTAATGAACTCAAAACATTATGAATGCTCTAATGCAATTTCACTCATATGGTGAAATATTTTTCAAGATAAAAATATTTTAATATAGCCATTACATATTCGGGCTATGCATGGTGAAATATTATTAAAAAACAACTTTTCCTAAAATTATTTTAGCACCATGAGCTTGCTCTGAATAATCCTCCTTTTGTTGGATTATTGCTAGTATAATTTTTATAAATTAGATGTTAAGTTATAAAAACATATTTTACATCAAAACAAAGATCACACTACATCATATTGTTCACATAAGAACTACAAAATTCACACATAAAAAATTAACCTCCAAAAGCACATAAAATTTATTTCCCTAAGATAATTAATCTGCAACACAATTAACATGTATAAAGCACGAAAAGTGTCCTATGATTTTCTTAAAAATTATGTCTAAAACCAACTGTTTTAAGTTATTTTGAATAACTTAGTACATACATCTATAATCTATAATCTATAACTCCCTTAAAAGTATGAGTAGTTTCTTGTAACTTTTAAAGTGCCAAGAATGCCTTACTAAAGATAAGTTTTAAAGTTATGAATGTAATTTTCTTATTAATGTTAAGAAGTTACAACTAACAATATTTGTTAAGTTTTTAAACTTTCATTTCTTAATTTACTTATATTCATTATCTTTTATTTTTTATACTTAATTATATCTTAAAGTTTTTATTTCATGTCCATTGCATATGGAGCTGGAAGAGTCATTGGACAATTCTCCTGGCATAGTGCTAATAATGGACTAGATCAAAAGAGTGCTTCTTCTATTAGTGAAGTTTCTAGAAAAAAAATATATCAAACGACGCAACGCACCTTGGGTCGCTATGGAAACAGCCTCCTTGTATAATTACAAGGGTAAGGTCTGCGTACAACTGACCCCCCAGACCCCAACCTGTTGGGAATATACTGGGTATGTTGATGTTGATGTTGATGAATTATATCTTAAAGTTTTTACACATACAAAAAGATTATCTACACAAATTGATAGATTTTAAATAAATAATATATTTTAAATTATATTAATCATAATTAGTTTACATACGACCTATAACGTTAGGTTTCAGTTTGGTTATTTTAAAGGTAGTTTTTAAATGTAAGAGAAGATATTATTTTAAATAAAATATTTTTATTTCATAAGTGTAAAATATATATGCATCAATGAAAATACCATCTATAATTACCAACTATCATATTATTACTACAGAAACTTTTTGTAATAGTATTGGAAAAACTAAAGAGGACAAATTTGGTGAACATGCATATGTTTAAGGATGATTGAATGAAGAATAATTCTTCATCATACAAACTGTCATTTTTTTTGTGGAAAAAAGTAATTCGTTAAGTGAAAAATATATAATCTTAAAATATTTTGTTTAAATTATTCACTAAAATAATATACATAATATGATTTAAGTTTACCTGTTAATAATAGTATGTATAACATAATGTTCTTTTATGATAGTATGTGTTACATAAATTAATCTACTATCTATTTTAATTGTAATATAAATAAAAATAGAGTAATTATAAAAATTAAATAAAATAACTAAAACTCTTTTAAATCTTGAATTTCAAAAAACGTGTACTTATTAAAAAATAGTTACAATTAAAATATGCTAAATATAAGTAAATAGTACATTTACTTTAAATTTGTTGTCATTAGCCACTCTTACTTATAAAGCTAGCATTAATTTTGTGCACATGCACATGTTACCAAAAATAAATAAATATTATACATAAAAATCATAATTGAAACAAAATTTTACTCAATAGTATTTACAATTGAATTAAATTAAAGACCCTTAGTTGAATTTTTATACTTCAATAAAAAAGAACAATAGAAATGTAAAACCTATATATTAATGACTATTATTATATGAATATAATGAATAATCTAATTTATATATTAATGTTGTATTAATAAGAAAATTAATACCAAAGTAAAAAAATATAAAATATAAAATGGACAATGTAAATCTTATATACCACATAAATTGATCTTTTTTAGAGAATTATCGAACAAATGATATACATATTATATTTATATAATAAAATACGTGTACATTTAGATTATTTCATTGATAAATTTTCACTTATAATTAAGTAATTATATTGGTATTACTTTATAAAAAAAATATTTCGTCATATTAAATATGAATATAATTTTTTTCATTTGCACAAATATGTAGAAAAAATAAAGAACCATTTCATCTCAATTAATACACCTTACTAATTTTTTTTTAAGTATTTTACAACACTTAAAAA